ATTAGCGTGCGTAATTACCCGTTTTTCCACGTGCATCAGCGTGCGTAATTAGGCCTCCCAACGTGCATCAGCGTGCGTAATTGGAATTTTCCACGTGCATTAGCGTGCGTAATTAGGGATATCTACGTGCATTAGCATGCGTAATTAAAAACAAGTTGTTTATTTTCAATAGCTTGATCACCATACAGAGTCCCTGAACAGGGTATACATACTCAGAGTCTTTTACAGGGTCTAGAGAAATATCAGAGTAGGCTCCGCCGACTGTGGATTTTCAATTGAATCCATGTCGATTAGCTCCAACGCTTGCCCCGGGTTTCGCGTTTAGGGAAATCAAAATCCGGCTCCCCTCGCTCCTTGGCGAATGTTTCGGCATCTCGCTCAATGCCCTCGCGGATGTAACGCTCCAAGAGGGCCTGCTTCGTGACTCGGCTAAACCACGCCACATCCGCCAGTCGCTCAGCTACATCTCGGGAAGCGTTGAGCGTCTGCCGCGTATTCTTCTTGGTGGCTTGCTGCTGTCTGACTTGCTGCGCGGCAATGTCGACCTGAAAGCGAGATTTTCCGAGCGCTGAGCCCTTCTTCTTGGTTGCCATCAGCCGAGATCCTTATGGATGGCTGCTGCAATCGCTCCGTAGTCTTCGGCCGCGGCTGAGTCTTTGGCGTGCTGGTAGATGGATTCCCGATATCCGAAGGCCTCGGAGAGCTTCACATTGCGTCGGACGGGCCAGACGGTCGAGCCGTTGGCTTGTTCTTGGAAAGCCTCGAAAGCTTCGCGCCCGAGATTCGTACGTGCGTCGTATGGGGTCACGACCACGCCCCACAGCTGGACCGCGGCGTTGAGCTTCGACAATTGCGCGAGACGGACGTGGAGCTCGGCGACGGCTTCGACCCCAAGGCCGGTGGCCTCGGTAGGGGCGATCACCCAATCAGCGGCGACGATCGCAGCAGACCAGAGCACGGAAACCGCCGGTGAGCAGTCCATCAAGATCACATCGTATGTCTCGGTCCTCGCAAGCTCGAATTGCTCCTTGAGCCAGAGCTGGGGGATCGAGTGGCGTCGCTCGATCTCACCCTCCGCCAGAAAGAGCCGATCTCCGCCGGGGATCAGGTCTACTGTTCCGCCCGAATCCTCATCCGAGTAGATCGAGAGCTTGGCTTCCAAGAGGGCAGTCTTTTCAGAGACCACCTCGGCCAGAGTCGGCGCATCCGCCGGCGCCTCGCACCACACCGATAGATGGCCCTGGCTGTCGAGGTCGAGCATCAACACTCGGCGTCCTAGACGGGCGAGCCCATGGGCAAGACTGTGGGTCGTCGACGTCTTGCCGACGCCGCCTTTTCGGTTCGTGACCACGATCGTTTTCATATTGGTAGATCCTTTTTGCATTCATTGAGTGCAAAAATTATACGGACAGGATAACGCCTAATCAATAGGCGTATAGCGCGCTTAAACGATGTTTGAACTCAATGAGTGCAAAAATCATTGATTCTCTAGAAAATGCTATGGGATTCTGTGCCCACGGCACTAACCAGCGGCACGGGATCTGACAGGTAGAGGTATGGAATCCTGGATTCGATCAGAGCAGATTGATTGTGCAAGAATAGTAATCCATGGCACGTCGATTGTTGTCGAAACTGGAAAAAGATGCGCGTCGACGCATCGGCTGGATCACTGCTGATAATGCGGGCAAAGTGGTGACGAAGGACATCTATTGGACGGTTGCCTTCCTCAATATGTACTTGGATCGATGTGATGAGCTGGGTATGGATAGACCCAGCGAGGGCCTTGCGTTAGCGCTTCATGCACCGAATTTGTCTCGTCTAATAGGTATTGGCGAGAGGCCTGGTGAATACCGGAGCCCAATGGAAAAGGCGTCGTATGAAGTTCTTTCATTGGCGGTTCTTGGAAGTCTTTGTCGACGAGCGGGCCGCAACGATGACGCCGAGCGTAACTACTCTCACGCATTCGACATTGTGAGGAAGGAGCGGATCATGCCAGCCGTGCAGGCTGAGATCCTCCTCCGCTATGGCTATTTCAAGACGTGCCTTGGGTCGGAAGATGCGATTGAGTATCTCGATCGTGCCGTACAGATGGGTCAAGAAGGCGGGACCAACGATTCTCTAGCCGAGGCCCTCAATGCTCGAGGCCACTGGTATGCCAATCGCGGTGAATGGGAAAGCGCCAACCGTGATTTCTCCGATGCCTTGATCTTTGTGAATCGAAAGTCGAGCAAAGGTAAGAGAACAGCCGCCGCCGCGATCGTCAACTTGGCATTCACGATCGCATCGGGAAGTCTTGACTTCGATGCTCAAACGAGAGCCTTGGAATGTATACGCCGGGCTCGAGGAAAAATCCCGAGGTTGACACACATCAAATGCCGATTGCTTTGGATGGAAGGCATCATCAATCGGAACCTGCTCTTCTGGCGACCAGCGGCCCGGCTACTGATCCGGGCCAGAAAAGGGATGCTCCAGCTCGGCGAAGCCGCTGACTTCGTCTTGGTGAGCCTGGACCTGGCTACTGTGTACTACCTTGAAGGTGAAACGGAGAAATATAAGCGGCTGCAGGAGAGCACAACAGCCGCTTTTGAAGAAATCGCCGGAGCTGAGGAAAACAGGCGACAGCTACTCGAAGCATTGAATCGTTGGCGAGAGCTGCCAGTTGCTGAACAGACCATTCAGCGCGTTAAGACCCAGGTAGAGTCTTATCTTCAATCTCAATATCGGCACCGAAAGGTGCAGGACGAGTGATATCTATCCAACGGGTACAATCGTGGGCCCAAACTCTTCAGGCTCGCCGGTTGGAACGATAGTTGGCCCAAGATCTTCTTCCCCGATGACGCTATCGATCACCCGGTCGATCGCATCCCCAACGTAGTTCCAGAAAGCAAAAATCGAGTAGGCCGTTTGGCCGAAAGAGTGCATGCCTTCGTTGTCCGCGTGAGAATTCGGAACAACGAGAAGCCCCAGTACTAGCAGTACAAGCAGGAAACGGGATCGCATAGCGACGTCCTCCAGAGTCACCATGAAGCGACATTGCTTCGTGGTGTGAGATCCGTTTGTGGTGGAAACAGAATCTCCCTTTCCTGCACAACTTTGACAGATAGCGACAATTCTACCGACTGGTCGGACCAATAGAACGAAGATTCATCCCATGGAATCAATGAGCACTCCTACCGACTGATTGGGAAGATAGCTCCGAGCATCACTTTTAGAGCTTTTCGGAGTTACTCATGGAACTCTTCGGCCACCATCAACACGTTGGGGGAGGGGCTGTCGGCGACTGGTCTCCTGGACAGCTCTTCCCCCCTTTGTTCCCCCATGAGCCATGAGTGAACCGTTCAGCCTGTCGGCCTTCGTCGACGATCCACAGAATCACCGAACA